TTTTCTTGGGGATAGCACTGCCATTGTTCAGTACTGGGGCTGCTTGCCTTCTCATGTTTACTTTGTATTTATGGAAGCAGGACCCTCTCCTGAGGAACCAAAGTTGGCATTCTTTTCTCTGTGTTGCCTTTGATTTCTCCATGAAATTTAGCTTTCCTGCGAGCTTTTTCTTGATTTTCAGAGCTCTTCTCTCTCTCTCTCTTTTTTTTTTTTTTTCTTTTTATCGGTTCTGGGGATTGAACTCATGACTGTGTGCTTGCAAGGCAGGCGCTTATGCCGCTGAGCTAAATCCCCAGGTTCTTTTCTCTTTCTCTTCGCTAAGTTAATTTCCAGATGTCTGAATTCCAGGTCTGAAAGAGGTAGTGACTTGTTTCTGTCTTCTACTCTTCCATTCTAATTTCCCTGGGCTTACTTTTTTAGAGAGTGTTAGTCAAGTTCACAACAAACTTGAGTTGAAAGTATAGACAGTTTCTAGATATTCTCTTTCCCACATATATACAGCATCTTCTGTTAGAGTGGGATTTGTGTTACAGTGCATGAACCCATGGTGACACATGACTATCACTAGAGTCCATTATTTACATTTGTATTTCCTCTTGGTGTGCTGAACTTGTTTGGACAAATGTGTAATGACATGTATCTACCAGTAACATCCAGAGTAGACTTACTGTCCTGAAGGTCCTGTGTGTTCCACTTGTTCATCCCTGTGTGTTCCCAGCTCCTGGCATCCAGTGACCTCTGCTGTCTCCATTGTTTTGTCTTTTCCAGAATGTCATAGAATTGAAATCACATAGTATGCAGACTTTTCATGTTGGCTTCTTTTACTTAGCAATGAGCATTTAAATTTCTTCCATGTCTTTTCATGGCTTAATAGTTCATTTCATTTTAGTACTGAGTGATATTACATTTTCTAAATATAACATAGTTTACACACACACACACACACATTTTTGTTTTGATTGAGACAGAGTCTCACTATGTGGTGCAGGCTGGCCTTGAACTTATGGCAGTCCTTCTGCCTCAACCTCTCAAGTGCTTGGATTACAGTCATGCCACCACCATGCCTGGTGCTATTTTGTTTGAAATAGGGTCTCCTGTTTCAAACAAAGAGAAAGAGAAAAGGGCCTGGGGATTTAGCTCAGCGGCATAAGTGCCTGCCTTGCAAGCACACAGTCGTGAGTTCAATCCCCAGGCTGGCCATGAAGCAGTCTTTCTGCTTCAACCTCTATTCACCGGTTGAAAGGCATCTTGAATGCTTATTGAAAGGCATCTTGAAATTTTAGTAAATTTCAACAAGTTTTGGCAGCTATAAATAAAGTTTCTGTAAATATTCATGTGCAGGTTTTGCATGGATACATGTTTTCAAGTTCTTTCAGCAAATATTAAGGAGCATAATTGCTGGTTGGTATTTTGATTATTTGTCTCTCATTACTGAGACAAAGTACCTGACACCAAAAATGAAGGAAGGAAAGGTTTATTTAGCTCACAGTTTGTAGAGGTTTCAGCTGTACTCAACTGGCTCCAAGGCAGAGTGGCACATGGCAGAGAAACAACAGTTTATGGCAGCAGAAGACAGAAAAAGCAACAAGAGCAAAAGGAGAGGAGCACAAGAGAAGGCTCTTTCTGTCCCTTACATTGTATGTAGGCCACACCCATTTGGGTATAGCACTGATATCCATAATCCCAGCATTGGACCATGAGTCAATCACAAACTTTAGAAGCCTGCGCCCATGACTGCATGAGGCTTTGGGGTACATCCAGACACAAACAAAGCAGATGGTGCATTATGTTTAGTTTTATAAGGAAGGGTTGATAGTAGGATAGGGGGATGGGAACCAAAAGAATCAAGATATATCATGTGCATGTACAAATTCCCTATGATGAATATGATCATTATGTAAACCTAAAATGATCTGATAAACTTAATTAATTTAAATTGTATTTAAATGCTTAGTTTTGTAAGAAACCATCACACTGTCTTCTAAAGTGGCTATAACATTTTACATTCCCAGCAGAAGTTAGAGAGACTTCCTGTGGCTTCCTGTTGCTTCCTTGTCAGCACTTGGTATTGTCAGTGTTCTGGACTTTGGTCATTCTAACAGGCGTGTGGTGTCTCCCTGTTTTAATGTGCATTTCCCTGAGACTTATCATGTTGAATATCTTTTCATATGCTTGTAATCTATATAGAGAGGTTTCTGGTCATGTGTTTTCCTATTTTTTTGATTGGGTTGTTTACTTACAGTTGAGTTTTAAATTGTTTATTTAATAATTCTTTATCGATATATCTTTTGCAAATATTTTTCCCTAGCCTGTGGTTTATCTTCTCATTCTCTTGACAATGTCTTCACAGAGCAGAAGCTTTTAATTTTAATAAATTTCAACATCAGTTCTTTCTTTTCTTTCCTTCTTTTTTTTTTTTTTGGTGACAGGGTCTCACTAATGGTTCAGGATGACCCTGAACTTGTGGCAGTCCTCCTGCCTCAGCCTGCTGAGTGCTGGGATTACAGAAGTGTGCCATCATATTTGGCAGTTACTTCTTTTATCAGTTGTGTTTTTGGTGCCGTATGTAACAGGTCATTGCCATACTGATTGTTAGTTAGGGTTTCTCCTATATTATCTTATAGAAGTTTTTTTTTTTGCTGAGTGTCATGGTACATGCCTGTAACTCCAGCACTTTAGAGGCTGAGGCAGGAGAAGTGCTGCAAGTTTGAGGCCAATGTGGGGTACAAAGTGAGTTCAAGATTAGCTTGAACTGCATAGTGAAACCCTCTGTCAAAAAGATCAAAAAAAGAAAGAAAGTAAAAGAAACAGAAGGAAGAGGAAGAGGAGGAGTTCGTTTTACTTTTTATATTTGGATCTTGGATCTGAGTTAATTTTTGTGGCATATGTTAAGTCTGTTTGTATGTTTGTTTCTTTGTATGCAGACATCCAGTAACAATTTGTTCCAGCACTGTTTCTTGGAACATCTAACCGGATGCTATGGCACATGCCTGTATCCCACAGCTACTTTAAGGCTGAGTCAGGAGGGTAGAAGCTAGAGGCCAATCTGTACAATTTAATGAGACCCTAAAGAGAACTAGAGATGTAATTCAGTGTAACAGCACTTGCATAGCATGCAGGAGGCTCTTTATTCAATCCCCAGTACCCCCTTTTAAAAAGTTTTTTTTGATTGAGGTGCTTTGCTCCTAAAATTAGTTGATAGCTGGGAGTGATGGCGTTCTCCTGTAATCCCAGCACTCAGGAGGCTGAGGCAGGAGGATTGCTGTGAGTTTGAAGTCAGCCTGGGTGACATAGTGAGTTCAAGGACTTCCTGGGGTAAATAGTGAGACCCTGTCTCAAAAAACAAAACAAAACAGAACAAACAAAGATTATTTGAGGTATTTGTTTCTGTCACTTTGCTTCTCTGCTGTTTTGTTAATCGCTGTATCTGTTATTTCACTAGTATCACAGTCTTGATTCCTTTAGCTCCATAGTGAGTCTTGGTACTGGGAAGTATCTGTTCTCTGACTTTGTTTTCCTCATTCAATATTGTGCTGGATTTTTTGCCTTTTTATATATAAATTTTAGAATTCGTTGATAGCAGCTTTGTGTATATTTTTAAAACTTTTTTCCTTTGGGGTTTGCAGTTTCACTGTGTTTTGTCTTCATATGCAGTGCTTTTTATTTATTCTCCCTAAAACATGTAGGACCTCTTCACGTTGGATTTTTCATAGTTGTTGGATAACCCTCAGCTATTACCTCTTCCAATGCTGGTCAGCTCTGCCCCTTGCCCTTAGTTTCATGGCTATCTGAGCAGATGTGCTTTACACCTGCTCTCTGACAGTAGTGGCCACCCTTCTTCCTGTTTGTGTTACATTCTGGTGGTTTCCCCTGTGTCCAGCTCATTAACACCCAATTCCACTGTAGAGAATAAAGTCCTTCCGTTGAGTTTTAATTTTGTTTACTTTTTATTTTTAGTTCTCTTTGCTTTATTTCATCAATCAAATTTTTAGTAGTTTCCAATAATATTCTTAATAGATATTTTAAGCTTGTGAATTTTTTTTTTTAATTTAAATATACACCATTTTGGGCCAGGGATGTAGCTCAGCAGCATAACTCCTGCTACAGCAAGTACGAGGTCATGAGTTTGATTTGTGGTACCAATAAATAAATAAAAATAAAATATGCACCATTTTATTGCTTGAGGCTGATAAAGTCTCAAGTGCTTGGTGGGTCTCTTTCTTGTGGTAATTATTTCTGCTTATTCTTTTTGGATTCAACTTCCTGAAACAAATCCCATTGGTCATAAAGATTTATTTGAAACCATGTATCTTCCTCCTTTCCTCCATCCTCATCTTTCCCAAGGTATTGGTTCAGGGTCCATTAATAATTGTTACCTGCTTTATCTTGGCCTGAAAAGAAGCAATCTTTCACAAGTATTGTTACTCCTGTCAGTGCCAGCCAGTGAGCTGAAGCTGACTGAATGTCTTCCAGAGCTAAAGTGGTCAATTACAGCTTAACCCAGGCACGAGCTTCATGCTGCCCTTGAATGTGGGCCAGATGTCCACAGAGCACTATTTGAGCACAGCAGACCCTCTGGTATGCTCTTGATGCTACACAAGTACAGAGTGAGATTACACATGGAACTTGAGGGAAAATTCGGAGGTGAAACCTTGTGGTATATAGGATATCCTTTAAATATAGCACCATGCTTTGAAAAATTTTGGATTGGGCTGGGGATTTGGCTCAGCGGCATAAGCGCCTGCATGGCAAGCAGGCAGTCGTGGGTTCGATCCCCGGTACCAATAAAAAGGAAAAAGACAAAAAATAAATAAATAAAATGTGTGCTAAAAAAAAAAAATTGGATTATGTGAAATAGTTGGCAAAATGTTAATTGGTGAAGTTGGGCACGTGATAATAAACTGTCAGCTTTTGTGTATGTTTGAAACTTCTTTGAGATGTTGTTGCTTTTTCCTCCTAAAGGAGCTTTTCTTTGGATCAACCTTCTTTTTCATCCCCAGGCTGATGTGATGATGGACAGGGTGCCCTGCTGCCCAGTTTGCGCTGGTATCGTGAAGCCTGATATTGTGTTCTTTGGGGAGCCGCTGCCTGAGAGGTTCTTGTTACATGTGCTTGATTTCCCCATGGCGGATCTGCTACTCATCCTTGGGACCTCCCTGGAGGTTTGTCAGAAGAACTGTAGGTGGTGGGCTAAAGGATGGGGAGGAGGTAGGTACCTCCCATTGGGTGCTGATATGTACATACAGCTGGCGCTGTAGGCTGTATAGGAGATTGGGGAGGGAAGAGGGAAGGGTAGAAAGTGAAAGGCTAGCTGTTCAGGCCAGACCAGGAAGACTGGTACCATGCTAGAAACAGTGATAAACCTGAGGGGACTAAGCCAGGGACACAGCTGACCCTTGGGCCTGGGAACTAGATGCTAGTTCTACAGAAGGCAAGGGTGGTGTATGGCTTAGTCTTGGGTTAGCTAGGAGTATTAGGAGCGAGGATCCTGAGCTGGGCTCTGTATATTGGTGAAGTGCCTGGGAGATGCCCACAGAATATGTCTAAGCAGCTGTTCTATATCTGGGTCTGAATGCCAGATTTCTAAAGGATATGATAGTAAGAAACAAGACCATGAAATGAGCTAGTACTTGACTAGATATAGGCAGCAAGGAGCAGAAGGACCAGGGAGCCTTGTGCTTAGGGGCTAGCTGGTTACTGAGTCCCAGGGTTGGCTGGGTGCTCAGAATATCCATGTTACTACCTACTGTGAGCATGGTCCTATCTTGGTGCTTACAACAGACATAGTAGGCAGGACAGGGAACCTGGGAGGCAAGTAGGTTGCAGTACAGACTTGATGGCTCTGTGTGTTTTGTCACTAAATAGTACTGGATGTGAGGGTTTCCGAGTGGAGGGGGTCTGGCAGAGGTGTTACATAGCACTCAAGGATGGCAGGACCAAGGAAATGACAGGGCACCAAGAAAGGGCACTATTCCAACTCATGTTGGACCAACTGTGGTTGCTGTGTTATGACTGGGACACAAGGTTCGGCTAGCAGAGGAGTTGCCCATGGTGATTGCATGGTGCTGGCTGGTGGCCAAGCCAAGCCAAGCCAGCAGGGCAGAGGGCTCATTGGCATGCAGGATGCCCACAGGATCCAAGGTTGTGGCCTGCATTTCTTGGTGGACAGGTCTGCAGATGCACATAAGGAATATATGAGGGACCATAAGGAATATAAGAGGGGCTGTATTTCTTTTAAAAACAAAACAAGAAAGAATAAAAACAATGATACCAAATTTCAAAACAATAGGAAATAATATATTGTATATTGTTATCTTCAAAGTAGTTTTTCAGATTACAAGATTTAGGCATGAAAAAAGTGATCAGTCAGTCAGTGAAAGCACAAACTGCTCTTTTTGATGAACTAAGAATAGTGTATAATTATGTATCTTGTAAACACACACACACACACACACACACACACACACACACACGCATACATAAAATCTTTTTTCCTTCTCTCTTTTCTCCTTTCCCCTATCCCAATTCCTTCCCTTCATTCCTTTTCATTTTCACAGTATCTGTTGTACATTTTGGAACTTACTTACTCTTATTTGCTCAGTTTTTTTACATTAGGGAAACAATCCAATATTTATATATGTGAATCTGATACTTTACTTATGAGTATGGTCTCAATTTGTATCCACTTACCTATGAAAACCTTCAGTTTATCCTTCAGTATATCCTTCTTTAATACTTCATTGTATAAACATATCACATCTTTTTTATCTATTCCACAGTTAATGGGCATTTTGGTTGCTTCCAAGATTTAGCTATCACTAATTGTGCTAGGGGTGCACATATATTGCTGTGGCATGATGTTTTTGGCTCTCCTGGGAAAATGACCAGAAGGGGAATAGCTGGATTGAATGGGATCACCAATGCTAGTTTTTTGAGAAATCTCCACACTGATTTCCACAGTGGTTATACCTACCAACAATGAGGAAGAGTTCCATTTTTCTCACAGCCCTGCCAGCATTCGTTAATGGTTTATTTCTTGATGACAGCCATTCTTTCTGGGGAAGGGGGGCCATATTTTCATATCTTCAACAATACCAAAATGATCTGTCTTTAGTCAGTGTGACTGGTTAAAAACAGTGTGTGTGAGACAACAATTATGGTTAAAAACATTTGTTTGATTATAGAAGATCATGTTTGTGACCATTTAAATTGTAATAGTAGATTATTTTATGTGTAAGTATTATTGTCAAATATAGGGACTGTTTCCAGGCATAGAATATAAATCATAAGTTAGGATGGACATTAAGTGTGATCATGATGATATATCAAACGTCTGTAGTCCTGGGTCTTCAAATGCACGGTGAGAAATTAAAACAAATTGGATAAGTCATTGACAGATGGACTCTTGAGATGTTAGGAAAATACTTTAACTCCAGGCCTTAAAATACCCCATGAGTCAGCACTCATTTTATTGACACAATCAGAGAGCTCCCTGGACACTGAAGCTGTAAAGGAAAAAGATTTCCCTATAGTAGGTTATGCTGGGAAGCATAACATAGATGAGCACAGAATGGGTTAGGCCCTGGCAGCATTGCTGCTTAGGAGGAACCACCTTCACCTTTGTTTGCATCAGTAAATACAAAATTCAGATCCTTGGTCAGGTTCATATAAACACTCTTCCAAGGTGTCTAACTGATTGAGCTTTGTTTTGGTAACCTTTTACCTTAAGCTCGTATGCTGTTCTTCACCTTGTTTCCAAGGATGGGTGCTATGAGTTGTACCTAGATGTCCCCTTCAAAGGCTCAGTCACAGGTGAGGCTTTTTGAAGGTGGCTGAATCTAGGGTATGTGCTACTGGGATCAAGGATGAAATGCTAGGCTTCAGGATAAGTGTGTTGTCTGCCCTAAGAGTGAATAGCCTGGATAAAGTGTAAGGGACAGAAAGAGATTCATTGCTTGCTTGCTCGTGCTATCTTCTGCTTGCCATGAACTGAGATGCCTCTCTGCCATACCACCTTGCCTCAGAACCAACCAGCTATGAACTGAACTCTATAAACTGTCAGCCGAAACAAACATTTCCTCCTTTAACTTTGGATGCTAAGTATTTTGTCTCAGCAATGGGAAAAAGAAACTTAAGATACTGAGAGACAGAAAATAACCTCTGTTTTGCAGTGGAAGTGAATATACCTTTATGTTTTACTGTGACCTGTTTGGAACCACATTTTACAAAATGCCTTGTTTCACCCATTCTTGTTTCTGGAAAGTGCTATTAACATTGTTTTAATTTGATTAAGGATACTGTGGTTTCTTAACTGTAGCTTATTTTGAAAGCTTGAGTTTAAATGTATGCCAACACTTTTCAAAGTAAGGTAATATTCAGAGACAGATGTTCTGATCAATGACTTTGAGAAATTTCTGCAATATTAACTTTTGAAGATTCCTTATTAATGAGTCCCTCTGACTTTAATCTAGAAGAAAACGGTTGTACTTTGTATACTTTCATTATATAGTTTTAACAAACTCAGTTATAAGTGAAATACTTAAACTATTTGTGAAAAAAATACTGTTAGAGGGGCTGGGGATTTAGCTCAGTGGCCTAAGAGGTCTGCCTGGCAAGTGTGAGGTTAAGAGTTTAATCCCCGGTACCACCAAAAAACAAAAAACCTGTGAAAAACATTTTGGGTTTCTGTAAGAGTGAAATTCCTCTTTTCATGTTCATTTGTTACTTCTGTTTTCCTTTCTTTGGATTGCATTTGGATTACATATTGATATCTCCCATTTTTCATTACGCTATAAATTAGCAACATAAATTTTTATAAATTACATGTTTATGAATTAGTTTATCAGAAATAAACTCATAGAAGTTTTTTTACATTTTAAAATTCTCTCTGATAGTTTATGTTGATACCAAAGTGACAATATTTTCATAGTGAAATCTTGATTTCCAGTCTAGGGACTTAGCTCAGCAGTTCAAACACTTGCCTGGTATATGTGAGGTGGTGAGTTCAATTCCCAGTACAAGTCTGTTGATTTCCTTTGTCTTATTTGACTTTAGTTATGTCTAAAAACTTTTACACCCTTACCTGTAAAGCCTATTTTCTTCAAGAACATGTAAATCTTTAATCCATTTGAAACTTTCTCAGTGAAAGCTGGGAATTAATAACTTTCCTCCTAGTTTTGTTATCATCTAATTTACCCTTTTAAAAACATTTTTACTCATGAAAGAAACTTCCATTTGAGAGCTTGTGTAGAAGCCTGATGGCTTGGCATTAGGCCTCCTTGGCTTCTGCTGGTAATGATAGGATGTGGGACAGTCCTCAGTTCTTGGGCATGTTAGGATCCTGCAGGGGCTCTGGCTCCTCTGCCAGGTGGGAGACAAGTATAGCAGAGGCTGCCAGCAGGGGCCATGTAGTGGGGTGGGCAGGAAAGGCAGAAGGTTGATGCTTGAAGACAGAGTGCAGTATGGCAGGAGGGGTGAGAGGCTAAGGCAAATGGAGCAGGAGAGGAGGAGGAAAGGGAGGCCTGGGAGGCCATTCAGACCAAGTGGAAAGGTCCTTACCTCCCAGAGTCTGACCCTGGTCTACCTCTCAAGGCCTCTGTGGCTGTGGCATCATAAAACTGATGGTGGTTCATGGGGGTGGACCATGTCTTTACATTTGTGCTGTTTTTCAGGTGGAACCTTTTGCCAGCTTGTCTGAGGCGGTAGGTGCCTCTGTGCCTCGACTACTCATCAACAGGGACCTAGTAGGAACCTTTGCTTGGCGTCCTCGAAGCAGAGATGTGGTTCAGCTGGGCGATGTGGTTCACAGTGTGGAAAGACTGGTGGAACTTCTGGGCTGGACAAAAGAGTTGCAGGACCTTGTTCAGCGGGAAACTAGAAAGGTAATGCCACAAAGTGCTGGGGTCTGTTCCACTCTCCGTGAAGCCCTGTTGGCCAGAGCACTAATTGCTGGTATTGCTATTCGTTTTGTACTCAGCTCTGAGCTGGACTCACTGCCAGCACTAAGAAAGGAGCAAACTGATGCCACATTCTGTAAAGGTTCACAATGAATAGTAACTGAGGAAAGATGGGTTCTAGGTAGTTCTTGTTACCCCACAGACCCCTGCTTTTTGCTTCTAAAATGAAGCAATTGCATAGCTCCCTTTTGAGACTTCTGGACAACTGAAATTCTCTGCATCATTAGGGATGAAGCTTGAACCAGATTTTGAGAAGTCAGTGTGAGTTACTGTTACCAACTGAGGAGAAAACCTGAGACTTTTTTTATAGATTTTACACCTCCCAGAATCAAGTGAAATCACAGAAAAATGCAGGTTTCTGTGAAAATCATGAACATGTTTAGCTTTAGCAATCAGGGATAGTTTCTACAGGAAGTAGCTTTTGCATCTGAACTCTAGTTCTATGGTTATAGACCGGTAACAATACTGGCCAGATTTCATAATGTATTGCAATTGATGTTCTTGTCCCCCAAGTCAGATATCTCAGGAAACCCCAACTCTCACCTTTGTCTCCAGCTGTGCCTGCTTCATGACCATGGCTAGCACTCTCCTTTATCTCCACTGGCAAAAGTCCCCACCCTCTGATTACAGTCTGATTTGATACCCAGACTGAACCAATAATGAATACAAAACTTATTAAGGATAGTAGACTTAGCATTAACTGTTTCTGCTTGTTAGACATTACTATCAATGTTTTGACTTTCTTTTTGAAGTCTGGTTCTTCGGGCTAAGATGTAGATTGGTGTCATTTTTCATCTTACTGTATAGGAATACAGACAAGAATGTTACATGTGGCTTACTTTGTGATGGAAGGAGAATCTAGACAACAAAATATAGCTCATTGAGGCATATGTCCTCTGACTAGTTCCCAGGGCAGTAGAGGTCTTGGTAGATCATGTTAGTAGGCTTGTGAGGTTTCCTGATTCTGATTTCTATTTATGTAAAAACAGTGTAGGCCCTTACGGATTTTTGGAAGTGGTCCTATAGGATTTTACCTGTACTGTTTCTTAGTTTCTGAAATTTAGGTAAAATGGGTTATGATTTCATTTTTTAAAAAAAAAGTTGCCATCCACAGGGCTACGTTTCTAAACAGTGAAGGTTTTTGAGCATGTAAGCAGTACATGGTATTTAAAATCCCTTGGAATGAAGATTAGTCCTGTTCCACTAGGCCTGTTGCGATCTCTTAACTTGCTCATTGACAAGGAGAAAAGTTTCTGTTTCATGAAATATTTTGTTTTCTGTTATGTTTGATCCAGGCCTGAGATGTGCCAGCAACTTATCTCTTCTCTGTTCCAGCTGGATGGACAAGACAGATAGAAGAATGACTGCCTCATGTTCAGGAAACAAGTTACACAGGAGATCTACATCCCATTTCTGAAGACAGCCTAGGAAGACTCAGAAATCTTGGCCAAACCACAACATGCAGCCTGAGGTAGCATGGAGGCCTGAGGCTGCATCAGGATGTGTGCTGGGAAGGACCTGTTTGTGCTTGGGGCCACCTGGCCAAGGTTGCCTGGCAGCTGTCATGTTTGTGTGCTCAGCTCTTTACTCTGCTGACACTCATTGTAAAATATTTTGTTGTGAAGATGACCTTTTAGGACAACTGGAATCCTGGGCTGTCTGTAGGTCAGCGTGGCATATCTGCTGAGATGCTCAGCTTGGGCTCAGGTGATATACTAGGGTCTTCTAGCATGTTATTCTCTGCAGTTGGATTGTTTTTAGAGTCTTATCCTTTATTCTCACATGAAATAATTTTACTGTCAACAGTAGGTAGGTGCATAATTGTTTTTGTCTCCTCAAATTGATAACAAGTGTTGATAAGGCCTATGCAAAGTGGAACGAACCTTCAGGGTATGAGTTTCCCCTTCTAGCACAGTCAGGACTGAGTACGTCTACCCTTGAATTCATGCTTAAATTGGCCTCGTATGAGAGCGCTCATCTCCTCTCTGCTGGCTGTCCATTTGATTTTACCCTGAGATGTTCATGCCTGACTCCTCCAGATTTCTTTTTAATTTTGAGACAGGGTCTCACTGGATAGTTCAGGCTGGCCTTGAACTCATTAGCTCAGGCGAGCTTCAAACTTGCAGTGGTCCTCCTGCCTCAACCTCCCAAGTGGTGGGATTACAGGCATGCACCACCATGCCTGGTATTCCTCCACATAGTCTGTCTGGCACTTCCCTCCTCACCCAGTACCTCTTGCTATAATGGTACCAAAGTCAGTTCTATCCATATGGAGGGCATCACTTCCTGGGAAACCTTGCTGGCCCTGGCAGAACTCACAGCTGTGTGCATGTCCTCCTCCTTGGCATTGTGTTGAAGCACCTGTCTGTAAGCAGTCCTGCAGTAGGCCAGAGCTAAGAAAGACAGACTTAACTAATAGATGCAACAGAAGGGAGTCTCGTGACCTTGTTCCTTGCTGATGACAAAAGATGCATGATAAAAGCATTGAATTCTGAAAAAATTAGTTTCTATTTAATGTCTCAACTATTTCACATATACATTCACACAGTCTTGCTCAAAACTCTTCTTTATTCTAGATGTTTCTATGACCCCTGGAAATCTCAAGATTGCATCTTATGGTCTCATGAGGGTCATTTTCCTTCATAGTCTGGACCAGTGGGTAGGACTGACATTCTTCAATTGACACTGTCACAGCCAGTGAGAACATGGATATCTGGACACTGTAATAGGTGGTTGGGACAGGACCAAGGGAAATGTGGAAGGATGAGTAGCCCCATTTGGTGGAGATACAACAGCCTACCTTGGCACCTAGTGTGTGGACTGGTAAAATTCTAATGTATCCCTTCCCCTGTGAGATGCAGTGTGCCAGCCCCACATATTCTCCACTCACATCGTCCACTCAGGCCAGTCTCATCTGAAGAAAACATAGTCAAGTTCCCAGGACAAGACTACTGCAGTCTACAAGATAAGAAATAGGACTAGAGGCAAATCATGAACAGAACTTGGGGCAGAGAAAAAGGGACTCCAGCTGGAGAGGGGCTGGGCTTCCCAAGGCTGCCATCCATTCAAGGATGTCTCTGGAAGCAGCACCAATTCTGAAGGTGGGACAGAACCACCATCCTCAGTCAGGGTCAGAATCTGGGTCTGAGGAGAGCTGTCCCTCCATGGTCTCACACATGGCATCTTGCAGGGATGTAAGGTGACCCTGGGGACTCATTCCCATGGGCTGGATGACTTGGTGCCTATAGGAGAAAAGTGCAGTAGGACCAAGGAAGGGACCTAGTATGCCAGGCAATGGTCTTTTTCGTCTTTGCCTGCTGCTGGGAGAGCCTGGGTTCAACTTTGTACTAATTAAGCTCAAGTCCTAATTGCTATCTAATGGATTTGAGACATCAGTCCTTGCTTTAATGGCCTTAGACTTCCTCAGCTGTAAAATGGGTACAATGCTGATCTCCCCAAACTCTTCTAGGGTATTTCTTCCAGGACAGGTGATTTCAAACACAGGTAATGCAGCCTGCCCATAATCTTAGCCCTTCTGTGACCCACTCCAGAGGCTTCTAAGCCTCTCTTCTCCCCGCTGCAGGCCTTTCTTTACCACACATACCTGGAGAGCTTGTCAAACATGTTCACCAGCTTCATGGCCTCATGCTCCTTCTGCTCTTCTGTCATGCCCTCCATAGGGTTGGGTGGCCTCTCCTCTACCCTGCCAGTCACTGGGTTGATGCTGTTTCCCATGGTGGGGGGGATAGAGAATGTGTTAGTGACTCCTGAAAAAGAGGGGCTGTAGGGGTGGCATGCGCGGGGGGGGAGGGGGGTCCCCATCCTCCTGCCCAAACCTGGAATGGCAAGGAGCTCATTCTCCTGGTAGAAAACAGGGATGGAAGCTACAGGGACAAGCTCTTTCAAGAGCAGCCATCAGCCAGTCCTCCCAGTGATCCAGCTATTCTGGACTCAAGTTCTTCAGGCTCAGAGATCAGAACACATCACTTTGGACCATGTGCCTGTTCTGGAAGGCCTTATGTACTCCTCACTCTGTCCCCCTACCACAGGAATGTGGCTGGTGAGCAGAAAATAGGGGCAATGAGGGAAACCTGAGGGTAGGGAGGCACATACCTGGCCTTGGCTTCCTTGTACTCATCTGTGTCTGTGTCCTCATCCTCCGAATACTGCCCCTCAGTCCGGCCCCCTGCCATGAGGCCCTTGGCAGCTAGAAGACCAGCAGCATTCCCGTAGCCTGTGTACTTAATGAACCGGGGCACTGGGGACCAGGACATAAATCAGTGTATGAGCTGATGAGCGGGGAAGGTTAGGGTCAGGCTCCCCCTAACTCACCACTCTCAGAACATAGGACAAAGAGGAACTCCGCTGCTACCCTCTTCACATCTGTGTCCAGGTGTGTCATGAGCCGTACCAGTTTATTCCGAAGTAGCTCTCCCACCTCAGGCCTAGTCCTTACATCCCGCAGGGGAGGCAGCACCTGGGGAGGAAATGTCCCTCAGCCAGAGCTTGGAGCAGTCTAGCCTCTGTTACTAGGCCCTGCCCATATCCCCTTGGTGCTCTGGTTCCTTTGTGAAATACCTGGGCCTTCAGGAACTTCCTGGCTGGACGGTGCATGCGGGCACACTCAGTCAGCACGCTTAGTACAGGAGCCACACTCTCCTTCAGCCTATGGGTCTGCAGAAGAGCCTCTGTCATTGCCCCACTTTGAAGCAGTGGTGAGCGCTCCGTGTACCCCACCTCACTACTGGCACAAAGACTTGTGAAGAAGCCTACTGCAGCAAGTCAGTCAAGGACCAGGAGCTGATAAGTGGGTGTTTGTCAGTTTCCAAAGCAATGAGGTCAGGACCTAACTCAGGAAGGTACTAGAAGCTTTGGGACTTGGGCAAACATCTCAACTACTTTCAGTTTAACTACCTCAACTATAAACCAAGAATAAGAACAAGCTATAAGCTCTCTAAAGATGTCAACACACCACTAGCACATATACTGCCCTCAGAAAATGAGAGCAAAAAGAGAATCTCTACTCTGTGTCTCATAGAAAGCAACCAGAGTCCCCACCCTGTCTATCCTCCCCTATTATCTCCCTAAAACTGAACACAAGTAGCTATAGCAGTGGGGACAGGTGGCCACAGCCAAGATGCCCAACACCTGCTCCTTTTCTGCCTGGCTCATATTGTAAGCATCCTTTGCCTGGCAACATGAATTCCTCAGCAATCTATTGAACTTTAACCTGAAGCTTTTGCCTGCTTAACATTTGCAAACTCAAGAAGGACTGGTTAGAACTCCAGTCCCCCCAGATGTCCTGTGATGTAGCTGCAGAAAACAAAGAGAAACTCGGTTAGAGTATCCTGTAAGTTTCTTAGGATGTCAAGGAACAGCTGATGCTTATTATTAAGGGCTGTCATTACACAGGGACACTAGGTGTCTGAAGATCACAAGCAGGAACGAGGGGCTTCCCAGGACCACACGAGAACTACTAAAAGGTAACAAGCACTTCACCAGACCCCGAGAAGCTTGTTGCCTGTAGTAGCCAGCACAAGTGAAACCTTAAAAGTGAAGAGTTGTCCACATACTTTGGAGGGACAAAGAGCCCAGTGTTCTGGTTGCTACTTGGCTGGACCACAGAGCAGCTGGAGGAGTTGCCCAAATTGCACCACCAACATAACATGCACTTGCTAGTGTGGACAGTGCAGAAGCAGTGATCACAGTTGCCTACCTGATTTAAGCGCTTCTCTAGGAAGGCAAGGAGGACACTGATCACATCCATGTTCACTCCCATGAACTCCAAAGAATGTTCGTGTAGATCCAGGGTGAGGAGGACATCCAAGCACTTGAGGGGCAAATTCCCTAAGAGATTCACGGTGTGGCTGGGGACAGTTACACAGGGATGTTGATGGGGCTGGTCCCACAGCACAAAGGCAATCCCTGGTACCCTGCTTGGCCACATATGACGTGAGCCAGGGTCCGAGGGATCTCAGAACAGCACAAAGGACCACAGGCAAGAGCAGAGACTGTCTCAAATTCTCCCACTTAGGTGTATGGTGGAGTTCTCTTGAGGGATAGCACCATCCACAGAAACCCCATTTGTCTCAAACTACCTAGGCTGAAGCACCAAAAGATTTCTGGGAACCCATACCAGTCCAGGCACAAGTCAGGGGTGAGGGATTACACTGCCCAGTGATACCACACCCGCTGTGATACCACACCCACTACTCTGTCCCTAAATCCATACATGTTGTCTTTGCCACATCCTGGAAGCACTTGTGGTTCTTTGGAAATACACTATTGTCTAGTTCCCCTGAAAAAGTTGAATTCTACAGTTGGGTCTGGGCTCTCCAGTGGTACCTGTCTACAGTCAAGAGTTGGGGACCATCAATTAGAGGTTGACATGACCCAGCATGACAAGCTCTGCTCTCACCCATGGAACTCCTCTGTGCGGTCTCCAGCAGCAGCAATCATCACACAGTGCCGCAAAAGGGTCCCCAGGTATTGGTAAAGAGCAGCATCTTCCTGACCAAAAGCAGAAAGGGTTCCTGTGAGAGGGAGCTCCATTCATCTGTATTACTGCATTGCAGAACTGTGTGGCATTAACTACCACATTTCCTTGACTGCTCTGGTAACCTTGACCAGTTTGATCAGTGCTAGGCTAAAGGCAATCACTGCTGTTTTCCCCCAAAGCCCATGAGTGCGCTTCTCAACATACTTTACAGATAAGACATTAGTGGATCCCTGTTGGATAAAGTTATACTGGGCCTTGGTCACACGAGGCCTCACAAGTGGAGAATATCCTATAGCCTCCTCAAGCATCTCAAAGTTTTCCTGCTAGGCACCCACCTCCCTTAGAAACTTTAAGATCTCTGCCTGGAGTAGGTATCTCTTGGGACGTCCTATTGTCCTCTATGTCTGACACTCAGGAACCTAAAGGTATTGTGGAAGACTTGTCCATGAAGCAATGCAGCTAAGGTAAGCAAGCCCCACCATAGCTTCAAGCCACAACTTACCTCCTCTACCTCCTTCTTGATGGAGTCAAAAGTGATATTGAAGAGCACTTTGAGGATCTCCATGATTCGCTCCGTCTCTTGGGGAGGAAGGACTACAAGGGGGCCCTCTTCAGGGGTCACTCTCAGCGTCAACTCCAGTGCGTCAGTCAACAAGTGAACACCATGCAGCTCCTGAAACAGCTGCTGGCGAACATCAGTGCGCAGCGCAGTTAGCAAAAAGAGGAGCCGCAGGTCAAAGAACTGTACCTCATGGGGGAAGCTCTTCTTGCCATAGAGCCCCACACGCTCTGTAAGTTTCACTACCAGGTGGGCTTCAGCAGCAAGTGCCTGTGCCACAGGGCTGCTGAAAACAAGATTGCACAAGCACTTGAGGGCCTCAAGCACGACATCCATGTCAGGAGCCTCTGAGGAGGACCCTTCAGAGGCAGATATGTCAGCATAGGAGGCTAGTGCATGCAGGCTCTGGCGGCTGGTGAATGGAACCAGGCAGCTACGGTCCCGGGACAGGATTCGGATAGTCTGCAACCAGGTGACACGGTGTGAAAGTGGCAAGCCCTGCTCCAGGATAGACACCAACAGCTTTGCGAGTCTCTGCGGGCAGAGAGGACAATGGCTCCACCTGGCCCTCTCTGGGGCAGCCCTCCTCGCCCCATTACCCCTGGAGCTAGCACCCACCTTTCTATCTTCCTGCTGGGCATCATCAAAGGTGAAGCTCTCCGAGTGCTGCAGAGACATAGTGGACTCAGGTCCTCTTATGCAGATAAGGCCTGTGCTCTTTCAGGGGTGGGGCGGGGCAGTCTGTTGCCTCTGAACAGGCAGCCACCCATACAGCTGTCTCCCGAGGGGTAGCACCCAGGTCTGTCACCAGCTTAGAACCAGCATCACTCACTCACGCTGCCTCCTCCCTCCCGCGCCCGTTCCTGGGCGCAGGGGCTCTGCTCACCTCCTGGTTATACCTCCTCAGAGCTTCCGTAATCACATCTTTCTCTCCAGACTCCACTGCATCCGCAACCGCCCGGGGCTCCATCGTCCCGGGACCCAGCACCACGAAGCCTGGCCCGCAAAATCTAAGGAGTTAGCCCACCGGCTCCGCCCTGGCTCGGCAGCCCAGCGTCGGCGCGCGGTGGAAGCCGGGACCCGGCCGCACTGGGCGGGGACTCGGGCTATGCTGCTGCCTAAGGTGGAGCGACCAAGAGGCACTGGTCAGGATACGTTACTAAAGGAGGCTGAGTCGTCCAGGAACTGAGCAGGGGCCCCTCATATATCCCTGCACTAGAGACTCTCGCCCGATACCCAGTACAACTAGTAGGGTAACTGTGTGCAGAAACCTCGCTGCGTGGGAGACGCTAGCATGGTGTACAACAGGGTTATGGACAACATGACTTCCCGGCCCCTGCCTTTGTGGAGTTCACGGGAGAGACAATATGAACTTAGCGCTCCAAATGCTTCAAGAGATGACTGGGAGGCTGCGGGGTGCGAAGAAACACCCTGCCGGCCTGGCCCAGGCGCTCTCTGAAGAGAACTGGTAAACGTGTCCACTCCAGAGGGTGTGCTGAAGATTGCAGGACACACCGGAAAGGATCAGTGGGGGCGGTGACTGTACTTGCGAGAGCTGCGTTCAAGGCTTTTTCGGTTCCACGTATCTTCATTTCATTTTTCGGTAATTCTTCACGGCTGCATTTTATGCAACATCTTGAGTACCTATCTCCGCCTTCCAAAGGCGGTTTTCTGGCCCGGGTGAAGCTAGTTCAGGATCGCTCGGCCCCTGCCTCGAGAGCCGAGAGAACTTCCGGTCACGCCCTTGCCCACGGACCGGAAGGACCTGGCTGTCAGTCACATCCGGGAACTAAGAATACCGAGTACAAAGCCAGCTGCTAAGCCAAGAGCCAACGCTCACTCCTCCTTTGACCAGGGAAGGAGAAAATGCATCACTTCCGTTCCCACAGCGCTACCGCCCCTCACCCGGATATCGAATGAGCCTGGAAAGTGGGAGGGCCCTGGAGAGGCGGGGCCGGAAGTCTATCGGGCTTCAGTGCCACGTCTGCGGTTCTTGTGGCCTTGTCAGTGAGTTGTGGCCCGCACTGCCTTACTAGGATGGCGGACTGGACTCAGGGTGAGCGCCCGAAAGCTAGGCCGAGCCGCCCCCCTTGCCCACGCCTCCCTCACTGGAGGTCCTTGTGTGGGGGCGGACCAGTCTTCCGGGTCTAGGTGACTGAACTACGCTGAACCTGAAGCGGCAGGTGGTTTGCAGGTGGTAGGTGAGCTGGGTGGAGTCTCAGTGCCCTGGTCCGACGCCACTCGGGTGAGGGTGCAGTGGGCAGAGTTCCAAGCAGGCGCGCACTGACTTGGGGGCCTAGGCGTTTCGGTCTTTGTTGTGTGAAAGAAGTGAACCGGCATGGGGTGGTCGGCAGGTCGCCTGCACCTTTCCTTCCGGTTCTGAACACGCCAGTGGTACCTACGGCTGCATTTCTTGCGGTGGGTCACATTGCCGGTTCTTGCTGGGCATTGGGCCAGTACAGATTTGGACTGTATTTGGTAGGGGCGGTTTTCACCACGTGATACGCCTGGTAATGACACTTCACCTGGCCCGTCCCTGTCAGGTTTCCGCAGGCACTATGAGTGTCACAGGAGGCGAAGCCCGGCACTCATTATGGGCGGTTGGGGAGCCTTATTCACTTCTTTTGTAGTAAGGGGGCTCCTGCCATCTTCTTGGATACTCTTTCGTATGCCTCTACCAGTGTTTATTCTTTTCCTTGGAGAACAGTGCCTTAGTCACAGATGATAATGTCTGTGGAGTGCATCTTTCCAGTATTCCTAGGGTTAGTCTATATGCTGCTACAGTATCAAGAGAGGCTGTTTGGAGTGAGCCTGTGGGGTCCCCTTCCTACCTTCACCTGGGTCTGCATGAAGGACTTCTGTTCACACCACAGTGCTACATTCCTGTCAAGCGCTTTCATGGTCCACCTGCTGGGAAATCTAATTGGGCCAGACTTGATTGGAGTGATTGGGGTTGGGGTTTCACTCATGGGCATCCTTTTTAACCTATCTATCTTTTCATAGCCCAGAGCTCTGATGCTGTGGAGGAGATTCTAGATCAGGAGAACAAGCGGATGACTGACAGCCTTGCCTCCAAGGTTTCCAGGCTTAAATCGGTCAGTAGTGGCCTCTTTTCGGCCTTTCATTTCCACCTCAAGGGGCTAAGAGGGTGGGCAGAGGACCTTGAGGTTAGGGTTAGGCAGTTTTTTTTTTTTATCTATTGCTGGTGGCATGGTGTAGAGCAGGGTTATGGACAATGCCTGGCTGGTCAGAGGGGAGAATGATGTTGTATGAATTGTTTTCCTTGACTTGACTTTGTTCTGTGTTCTTGCCAGTTGGCCCTGGACATTGATAGGGATGCAGAAGACCAGAACCAGTACCTGGACAGCATGGTAAGGGTCTGTAGAGTGCAGGAGCTACCATCAGGTCTACCCCATGCTCCTGGCTCAGCAGTCTGTGCTCTAGTGATGGGGATGGGAAGTGGGGAGTGGTAGTTGAGATGGTACACTTCGTGATCTTGCTGTCCCCTGCCCCAGGACTCAGATTTCACAAGTGTGACTGGCCTGCTCACGGGGAGTGTGAAGCGGTTCTCCACAATGGCACGGTCTGGACGAGACAACCGGAAGCTTTTGTGTGGCATGGCTGTGGGCCTGCTCACGGCCTTTTTCATCCTTTCTTACCTCTTGTCAAGGACAAGGACGTGAATCAGTGGGAGCCAAAGATTCTAGGATCTTCTCCACCTGGTATCTGGACCTCCTAAGGACTCACCTGCAAAATACTACTTTGAAATCACCACCATGGGTCAGAAATCTTTTTCCTGTGTGGAGGGGCCTCTTGACCTAGCCATCAAGTTGGCTAATCCCCTGTGGAAGGGTATTTTCCCTTTGGAAAAATAAGACCCAGCCCCTACCTCTACTCGGGAATTAGAGATATTGGTCAGGCTGGGGCTACAGTGCACCAGGACCAGCCAGGTCTTGAGTAGAGCAGCTGTGAGTACTGAATATACTCACATGGCCAGCAGCCCTCCTCCCAGCCCTCAGGGTCTGAAGTTTTAAGACTCTTTTGTGCTATTTGTTCCTGGGTGAGGACATGTCTGATTTTACTGAGAACCCTGGGACCACCACAGGAAGGGACAGTGACTGTGACCCCAATAAGAGCTGGCTTCTAGGGGCTGGGGATTTAGCTCAGCGGCATAAGCGCCTGCCTTGAAAGCAGGCAGTCGTGAGTTCGATCCCTGGTACCGATAAAAAGGAAAAAGACAAAAAAAAAAAAAAAAAAGCTGGCTTCCTCACCTGCAGGTGCTCAGCACGGATGTGACAGCTATTCCTGGCCAAGAGTGTTGAGCAGAGGTGGTCTGATATGGACAAGTATGAAAAGTGTGGGCTGTTAATGAAGGCATGGACTATACAGCCTTGGCTGGATACACAGGGCTGGTTTCCCTTTTGCATCACAGCGCTGTGTTCAGGAACAGAAATGGATGTCCTCGGGATTCAGAACCTCTCCAGTGCTAGAGATGTACCCCGGGAGAGCTAGTCTGGCCTTCAAAGTCAGATGGAGTGTTGGGGAGATTTTCCTTCAGAGGGCTTTCATGGAGCTGAAGGCTGCCTAGAGAGGCCACTGTGGCATTTATAGCAGAACATATCCCCTGCTCCACATTGCTGCCTACCTCCCATAGCTAGTCTCCCCTTGCAGTGGGGATGCTCTGAGCTACCACCTCTCCTTCATGCAAATTGAACTGAACTATGAAGCCGGCAGGGCCAGCAATTTCTGAGAGAGTGGTACTTTTGTCTTCACATAAAGGACCTTTAAGTAGTGAACTGTGCAGCTTTGGGCCCTTCTAACCATATTCCAGTCTGCCTTCCAGGTACTTCTACCCTCTCCAGCACTATTAGCTCACTGTCTGCCTCCCCATATTGCCACACTGTGAGGCTTGTCCAGCTAGAAGTTTTCCTCTGAGTTCTGGGTTGACTGATCACCCATAGTTTGCCTTATCATCATGGTCCTTCCCTGCTTCCTCTGCAGGCCCAGCTACCCAACTGTCCTCTTCCTCTACACAGCATGTCTGCCTTTCCACAGACATGCTCACACACCCCCTCTTTTCATCTTCTGGCCCTTCCATTCAGTCTGACTGAGTCCCTGCTTCACTTGGGAGAGGAAGATTCTCCTTTTTGTTTTGACTTCTTCCCCTCTTAGTGCATACTCCTTTTTCAGTGCCTCAGCTTTTCTGTGACTTCACTGTTTCCTTGACAACCCCTCCTGGTAGGCTAGTCTTGCTTGTATTCCCCTCCTTGCTCTGGCAGCCTGATTGCTTAGTCTTTTGCTGTCACCAAATGGGATTGCTGCCTATGTTATGTCCCTATGTGATCACTGCAGACACAGTAGAGGGTACATTCACAAGCTCTACATCTTCCTGGCCACACACTGCTGACTTCCATTTCCTCTGAATATACCATGGCCGAATTGAGAGACAAAGGCAGATCCCAGATCCACAGAACACTCGCTGTGGTCATTGCCTGCTTATTTTGCTGGTGCAGAGTAGAAACTTAAGACTTGCATTTTGGGGTGACATTCCCCTGGAGAACTTTTGCCACCTCTGTGTAACCTTGGTCACTTCATTTTTTCCTCAGGACTCTTGGTTGTTTGCAGCCTTTTTGGCTGTCTTTGGTCTGTGTGTTGTCATTCCTTCCCAGTTAGCTTTTTTTGTTTCTCCTGGTGTCTTAATCCTGTGAAGTGGGATGGCAGTTCTGCTACCACTGGATCAAACCAGCTTCCTGAGAGTCCATAATCCTAGTTCTCTAGCTTGGCCTTGTATACCTGACACCTGGCCCACTGGGTAAGTGGAGTTTGCCAACTTGGTCTCCAACACTAATAAACCAGAAAAAGACTCAGTGTGAGGATTGTGAGCTGCCAGACTGTGTCTCATAAGAACATCTCAGCAATAAAATGTGGAATAAACTGCTTTGTGAAGAAGGTATCATGTATTTTTTGTCTTTTCTGGGTGTTTGAGAGAGATGGTTTTTTCTATTTGTTTAGGTTGTGTGGAGTCTGTTCCCTGTCTCTTCCCTGGATCCACTGTTGCCCCTTGGTATCCCCATGGCTCAACCTTAGGCAGGGCAGCCATAGGCCCACCACTTTCTGCTGTGCTTTTTTGTACTACACATGCCATGACAGTGTCACTTCTATGGGGTAAAGGAGTAAATGTGGTGACCCTGAAGCTGGTCACAGGATTGGTCACTGCAGAAGAATCAGCACCTCTGCTGTGCAGGTGTAAGTTTTGTCCTGGTATGCAGGCTAGGCCACCTGCTCAGTATGGGCCTCTCCTGGGCCAAGGGAAGTCCAGATTCTCCTCAAGGTCTGTCTGTGGCCTTGAGGAACCTGTGCAGATCCCCCAGGCCCAGCTGAGATTGGCCAGTGTCCCTGCCCATATCCTGTATTAGCTCGTGGTAAGTAATAGATTTCCTTGAGACTTAGAGTCACTCAGCGTAGCAACAGTGGTTTATCGTGTTTCATTGTTATTGCACCCAAATTTGAGGCAGCCTGCGAGGCATGACTAGCTCTGGTTACCATAGTGAGGCTTCAGTTGCAGAGAGGCTTGGGCTGTCACCCAAGACCACTCACATGTATTGAGCTTCCTTACACTGGGGCGAATGGAGAGCATCAGGCAGTAGCACTTCTATACCCATTATCTGGGTTGGTCCAGATTCAGGGGGAGGGATGTGGACTCTAGTTTTCCTAGAGACTGTAGTTCTCCAAAGTGTGAGGCAGGACTCTGAGGTCTCTCTTTGAGACCTGGGAGCCAGGGATGAGACCCCACATGGACTTGCACTGAAATCTGTGGATGATTTTGGTCCTTCCCCAAGACAAATCCTTATAATTGAAATCCATGGTTTATTAAGTAATTTGGGCACAACAGGAAGCAATATTAGCAATTGGGAAGATAGCATAGAAAAAAATAACCTTAAAAAAGGAAACTTGTCACAACTGTCCAAACAAGCATGCTCTGTCCTGCAGGGTCCCCTTGCTGTGGCTCTGCTCAGAAGGAGGTGTCAGCCTGCATCTGCCCTGGGAATCTTGTAGGCATGAGATGGATCCAGGCTGCAGGATGTGGGGCTGGGGCTATTCCACATCAACAACCAAGGGTGTCATATAGTCAGAGTGCTTGATGCCGAAGGTGACAATGGGGGCACAGGGCTTGTGCAGGGTCACCTGGGAGAAGAAAAGCTTTTGGCAATGACTTGCACTTGGGTGTTAACCCTCTGAACCAGCACTCAATAGCAGTGACTGTCATGAGATTGGGACCTAGAGCCTGCTGTCAGGTATAATGAATGGCTCTGATTCTCTGTCCAAAGGGTTGCTGTTGGGGCAAGTGCACCATCTTGAGGTCCCTGCAGGTTACACCCCTTCCCTTCCTGCCCGCTTTGGCATGTCCTTGAGTCCCCTAACCCCTCTCTAGGGTTGTTGTTCCCAAACCTTCTCAGGGCTGTGGGCTCCTGGTCCTGGCTTGAGGGTCTTGTCTCCTGGAGGCTCTACCCGGGCGGCCATAGTGTACTGTGGAGCCTTGAACTTGGTCACCTGCACATCTGTCTGGCGGTATGCTGCAGGACCTGGGGTCTAGGAGGCAAAGATGGCACAGACAGGTTTACCTTGCCATGGCATGTGATCCCAAGGGCCAAGGGCAGGGACAGTTCCAGGTCCTGAGTCCCCAGAAGGAATTCTGAAATGGCTGTGTCTCTAGTGGGGCACCTTGGGGTGTGTGTGTGTGTCACCCCCTCCATTTCAGCCTTACTGTGTCAATGACACTCCCAGAGTATGCCAGTCCCAGGAGCATGTGTATGAGGTCCCTTCTTAGTTGGGACACTGTCCTCTTGGCTTGAGGGCTATGTACTGTTGCTGGTAGTAGACCAGATGTGGGACACTGATACTGCCTCATGTCCCAGGGCCTTTACACTGGCTGTTAACAGAGTAGGAACCTTCCTCCTCCAGATGTCTCAGGGCTTAGTTTTTCTTCTTCCTCTGTGTCCTAAAGCCATCTAAAAAGTTTGGTGCCCTCTAGGTAGGCCCTATATATTCCTCTGCTTGTCCTCAGCACTGGCACTGTCTCCCTTGCTGATGTCCTGGATCTACCTCCTTAGGCATGCAGAGGACACAGGTCACAAGATGCCTCAGCAGGGCAGTGGAGGGCTGAGGGTCCTAGGTTTTAGGGGCTGTTCCCTGTCCGAGGCTGGGTGACCCTTGCCTTGTGCAGGTCGTCGCTGAAGTTGCCCCTCTTGCTGCGGCCCTTGATGGAGAAGGAGGGCTGGGAGGCCTTACCCACAGTGTGTGGTCCCATCACTACCGGCAGCATGTATGCAGCGGGTCCTGCAGGGTAGACAGGAGCTTCAGGCCAGTGCTTGGCGGACTTCCATCTGCCATCGAGCTGTTTCTCATTTACCCCTAGGGGACCCAAACACCAGTTGTCCAGGTGACTGTGGGCTGCTGCAGACCTGGAGTGCTGTCTATCCGGAAGGTCTTTGTCCGGGCAGAGATGGAGTGGCTGGGTGCTGAGTCAAACACATGCTTAGTAGATTTCTCTGGAAAATAATCACCTGTGGCAGAGAGAAAGGGTATGAGAATCAGGGTGCAGCCTACCCCCCTCCCCAGATGAAAATTTCTACCTTCCAGACACAAGGCTCTGGGCCCCAAAACAGGCATGGAGTGAGTATGTTTGGCCAGCAGTGTCCAGGATGGAAACCTGGCTTTAGGGCTGGGGGATAGGAACTGTTTTGAGCAGGCAGTGTGGGTTAAGGTCTGATGGTACCCTGAGAGTAGAAAGGGGATAGAAAAGCACGCCCCACATTGACACAGTAGGACATACAGTGGCCCCCCAATAGGGACAATTGGGATGATGGGACAGTTCATCTTCCTGGGCTGGGAGCATGAGGGCTCTCACCTGGGCCAGGGGTCCGCATCGTCTTGGTGTGGTAGCGCCCCAGGATGGAGTAGGCAGGGCCAAGGTCCTTGCCGGTCCTTAATATCTTGGGGTTCACACTATAGCGGGGTCCTGGGGAGCAGTTCTCTGCCAGAAGCATGGGGGCCCCACGGAAGCTATAGGCTGGAGCACGCAACTTGGTGGGCGTGTGCTTCACAAAGCCTGTGGACATGGTGGCTCTGAGCAGCCTGGAACCAGCTGCCACTTTGCCCCAACTGGCAGTCTGGGATGGAGCCTGTTGGGGTACCAACCCAGATGTATCCCCGATCACCCATACCCACCCCAGGCCATCCAGATCCTCTTCAGGCTGATATTCTTATTTCCCTACCAGTCCCCCAGGCCCTTATCTCTGACCTGTCGTGGGTGGAATCAGGTACTTGGGGCCAGGGCTGCTGTAGAGGGCCATGATGGGCCCCCGGGGCCTATGGGGCCTCCAGGTGCCCACCCACACTTCCTCCGTCATGGCTGGCTCTGTGGACAAGAAAGCTACTGTTCTAAAAGTCTTGGCTTGTCTCATCCTTGCTGCCATACCCCCACCCTGGTCTTATTCATGTTGATAGGGCAGAGCCACAGTCTTCAGCCTCCACAGGATCTCATGCAGTCAGGGGCAGTAGAAACTTTCTGCTTGATGAAGTGTGCTCAGCCCTCTTCAGCTCCAAGATAAGGGATGCCAGTTGTGTTCAGTGTTCACTCTGGCTAGTAACTGGCCACCCTTTTAGGTTTCAGGGGGCCTGGAAAACCCTGCTCATCACTTGGTAAGAATCTCCTGGGGTAGAGCTGTACAGTTGCTGGGTAAGAGGCTCAGGGCCTTACCTCCTTGGAGTAGGGCAGTTCAGAGTGGCCTGACACCCAAACTCCTCGTAGGTGGTCCCCTTCCCTGGATCTCAGTACCTGGTAGTTCCTGAGAAAAGAACACAGAGAGAAAGGACTCCCTACTCCCTGAGAATTAGGGAGGGGTCCCTGAGCTCTAGAATGTGGCTTTGTGGGATGCAGGAGTTCTAGATTACAGCAAGTGTGATGGAGACAATGGCTCTGTTTGGGCTCTTACTGAGCCCCACCCTTCCTGGGAACCCACCTAGTCAGAGACACCACCTTCTCTAGGGATCCTCACTCTCACCTGGGTACCCCACCTTCTCTAGGGACCCTTACCTTCCCCACTGACTCTCCTCTTAACAGATACGGATGTTCTTTAGGGTGTATAGGGAGGAACAGGGCCCCAAGCCCAGGGTGGACCAGGAGTGAATGTGGTGATCAGTTAGCACTGCCCTGTCACAAACCCTGATCTTGGGAAACTGAGACACAGGGAAGCTCTGGCTGTCAGGGATCCTGGGTTTGGAGTCAGATTGAAATGTATGTTGTGTTAAGCAGTAGCCAGGGTGGGGAGGCTGCTTCTGCTAACATTCCTGAGACCCAGCTGGCCTACTCCACCGTGGGGCCCTTGGGTGCTTTTTCACATTATCAGGGCCCTCATGGAATCAGGCTCTACTGAGGGCATCTCTCCATGGGTGACTTTGAAGACAGTATCTTTTCAGAGGCCCTCATGCTCGTGTACTTTCTGCCTATGCTGTCACATTTCTCATATACAGCTGTGTTCCTGAGGTCCTTCCCCTCTGAGCCCTAGATACTTTTTTTTGAGCTCTGTTACTCTGGGTCCTGCCACCCACACCTCTGCCCTGATGCCTGCCTGGCTTTGTGCTCCATCCTATCAGGTCTTTGAACTTGATGCCTGCCCAACTGGGAGAGTAAAAACACCCCCAGACAGATCTGTTATTTACACCTTGGGGAGCTTGGTGTTCAACAGAAAGCTGGTAGACAGAAAGCTGTGTCCCCACACAGCCACCTGCAAAGAGCTGATTCCACAGAAAAGCCACAAGAGACATGCTATGCCTGCCAGCCTCCCATATACTGAACACTGTCCTGTCTATGAGCTAACCTTAGATGCCCTATTCAGAGACCCCAAATTTGCAACCCCCTCAGCAATGCCTCCCTCCTCTATCTAAAATCCCCTATAAAAACATGCCCTCACCCCTTGCGCAGGGCCAATGGTCTTTTTGCCCTTGGCCTGACTGCATGTGGTGTGCAATAAAGTTGTTGCTATTTGCTTCAGCCTTGCCTGCCTCAGTAGTCTTAGTCATGCTCCAGTTTAATCTAATATCTGGTGCCTCATGTGAAGAGGGGTCAAGGTCACCTCCTCAAGGGTTCAGCCACGCCCTCCTGGACCTTGATCAGGGCATGCTGAGACCACTATTGACACTGGACCTCTAGCCAGTCCCTTGCCTCGACTTGCTGCTGGTTTTGATTCTCCCTTCAGGCCAGGTGAGTGATATTTTGTCTTCTCTGTTGTTCTAGTATCCCTTCTTCGCCCTTGTTGATCTTCAAGACCCTGTCAAAGTTGTGCTGCAGGAAACCCCAGGCCTGGTCATACTCACCCCCCACCAGTACCAGGCTCCCTTGAGGCCACCCAGGCTTTGGAGACATCTAGTTTTGTCACCTCATCTGCTGTCCTTGCCTTCAAGAAATTGACAGATGTCCTCTGTTTTTCTTGAGTCACCCTCATTCTACTATAGTCTTGACTCATCCGCCTCCTTCCGTTCTTGTCCCCTCCCCATTTACTTGTGTTCTGTGTCTTAGTTACTTTATGCTCGTCGCTGAGACAAAATACCTGATGCCCAAGTTGGGAAACGAAAGGTTTATTTCTTACAGTTTTTGGAGGTTTCAGTCCACACTCAGTTGGCTCCAAGGCAGGCGGGCATGGCTGGACCTCAGTTCATGGCAGCCGTCGACAGCAAGCTCAGACCAGCAAAGAGAAAAACACACCTTCTTCCTGCCATTACATCACATCCTGGCTCCACCCCTATGTGGGTGGAACACTGATACTATCAATCCAAGCACTAGACAATGAACCATCACGAATATACAATGCAAGCTCCTGAGGCCTGGGGGACACACACATAAACCATGACATTCCACCCCTGGCCCCCAGGACTCATGTACATCCTTTATACAAAACACAATTTAGTCCACCTCCAAGAGTTGCCAAAGTTCTAACTTTCAGCATTGCTGAACAGTCCAAGTCCCAAGTCTCCTCCATGATCTATGGCAAACTGTAACTGTAACCCCTGTACAAATGAAACAAGATTAAACATTTCTGAAATGCAAAGGCACAAGATAAACATTACCATTCCAAAAGTTACAAACAGGGGAATATAAAGTATTGGAAACAAAGCAACAAGTCCAGCATCCAGCAGGATGAACATTAAGTCCTAGAGTTCCAAGCTCAGCATCTGAAGCAATCTGGTTGCAAGCTCCAAAAGCCTTGGGTGATTCCACCCCCAGGGCACTTCCAGGGATTTCAACTCCCACAGCTTTTCTCTTAAATCTTCTCTGCTCGCTTTTTGCAGCTTCCCTTGGATCATCCACATTCCTGGCTTTTCCAAATTTCTGGGGTCTCCACTGCACCTTCGGCTTCACCCTTACATCTTCACAAATTGCCCTCTCAGGGGCACACTGCTTGGCCTCCCAGGCCCTTTGCAATCGAGGTAGAAGCCGTTTTACCCTCAGAATTCGTGCATTTTCCTTGCACCTAAAATCAGCACCTTGTGGATGCCGCCAAGGTTTGCTGCTAGCTGAAGCAGTAGCCAGGCTTTTCTCTCTCTTGGCGGTAGGGGTCAGTTGCCTGGATCCCAGGGCTCTGTTTACCTGATTGTGATGAAAAGCTTCTCTGTGTTGCTGCCATTCTGGAACCTCACGTGGCCTCTGTCGCCATTCTGGAACCTCACGTGGTCTCTGTCGCCATTCTGGAGCATGGCACTCTGTAGCTTTTTTCTCTGAGCAAAATTTTTCATCTTTTCTGTGAGGCTGCACAGGGTGGGGACCTGCTTCCTGGGATGCCCCAGGGCCATCTTTCTTATCTCTTTGTTTCACCTCAGGAATCAAAATCTCAACTCTGTCTTTACAATCCACACCCTTCCTGGAATCTTCCTTCGGGCCAAACTCACAGCATTGTACATTATCCTGCTGGGCTCTTTGCTCCTGATTCAAAACATAAAGCTGGCTGAAAGCCACCAACAATAGCCATGCCACAGCCTCAACATTTGGTTGCTTTTTAATTTCTTTTTCAAGATTAATCAGTCCATTGCCCTTTGTCTCAGTCTCAGGCAATGTCTCTGGGCAGGAGCAAAATGCAGACAAACTTTCTGCTAAGCCATAACACACATCATGTGGAGTCCAACAACCAATGCGGTCCTTCCCAGCAGAAACCTCTCAAGCCTGGTCTTTACCATCAGGCTTTCTGGTCTCCTGAGCTCTGACCAGAATCTCCTCTACAGAACAGCCTAAGCTGCTCCAGCTCTATGCATCCAGGAGACATGTGCAAACCTTTCCGAACTCCACCCACAAGCCATTTCCAAAGCCTCTTGAAAAACATGGCCAGGTATAGTCACTGCAAACGACCCCACTCCTTGGTACCAAATTCTGTCTTAGTTACTTTAAGCTCGTCGCTGAGACAAAATACCTGATGCCCAAGTTGGGAAAGGAAAGGTTTATTTCTTACAGTTTTTGGAGGTTTCAGTCCACACTCAGTTGGCTCCAAGGCAGGCGGGCATGGCTGGACCTCAGTTCATGGCAGCCGTCGACAGCAAGCTCAGACCAGCAAAGAGAAAAACACACCTTCTTCCTGCCATTACATCACATCCTGGCTCCACCCCTATGTGGGTGGAGCACTGACACTATCAATCCAAGCACTAGACAATGAACCATCACAAATATACAATGCAAGCTCCTGAGGCCTGGGGGACACACACATAAACCATTACATTCTAATAAAAACTGCTGTGTCTCCTGACCTGAATTCAAAACACCTGATTTACTCCTGCAATATGTCTTGCCCAGTCTGTAAGTTGAACAACCAGTCCAAATGGCCAGTTAACAAGACATTTGACTTTTTAATTCTCCAGGATCTTGATGATTTTTGTTGTAGGCTTAGTAAGTGGTATGTTTGCCCTCCTCTGTCTCTCCTATTTTTGTACTTCCTGTAACCCTACCAAACTCATTTCCATCCCCCTCACTGCTCTGTCCTTGCACATTAAAAAGGGCACATGATTACGTGATTGCCTGCCTTGTTGAGGGACTAAAAAGGCAGCTCACAAATCAGTCAATTAGGAAAAACTCAAGAAAATTACTCTAAGAATAAAAATTTTGCTCAGTTTATGTCACAGCTGACAACCACCCCAACAAAATATATGGCCCTCAGTCTAGAAACCTCAGAGGGACCATGGATTCCCAAAAATATGTTTTATCACCCAAGCAGCTCCTGACATTAGAAAAAAAACTCCAAAAAATTGAGACTGGCCTTGAGACCCTACAACAGGAATTAATCTCCCAGATCTTTAAGGTCTAAAATAACTGAGATAAGGGTGTCCACCAGCAGTCATTTCTGACCTACAATTACTTGCCTCCACCATATGAAACCCAAAACCTAAAACTAATACTGACAAGTCCAAAGGGGCAAAAAGGGGAACTGTCCCCTTCAGGACTCTGCTTCAAGTGTCAACAGTCAGGCCACTGGGCCAACAAGTGCACTTACCCTAGACCCCTTTAAGCTATGGTCCACGTGTAGGGGCCCTCATTAGAAATCACAGTGTCCCTCAGCAGCAAAGCCTGCTGCAGGAGTCCCTTCCCAGGGCACCCCACTGGACACTCTTGTTCTCTCTGATTTGACTGGGTGGGCCTCAGATGACTGACATGTCCCAAAGTTTTCAGAATTCCCCTGGACTGTCACAACAGTGGAACCCCAAGTAATTCGTATGATGGAAGGTAAGACTGTTTCATTCTTAACTGATATGTAGACAGCCCATTCAACCTCTCCCTCTTTCTCAGGATGGCTTAGGGATACTGATATCTCTGTTGTGGGAATTGATGGTACCATATTCAGGCCCCCAAAGACAGCCCCACTCTGCCAATTATAAAACCATATATTTTCTCACGATTTCCTAGTCATTACAACCTGCTCTGTTCCACTCCTTGGAAGAGACATTCTAGTAAAACTGCAACTCTAACCCAGCACCACCTCATGCCTCATGCCTCTTCTGCTCTCCCCATCTTGCCCCTAGCCCTGACCCCCCCTTCCAGTCCTTTCTCCCTTCCTTAGACCAATGTGTCTGGGATAGCTTTAGTTCTTCTATAGCCACACACCAAACTCCCCTCCTATTCCCCTAAAAGACAATCACCTGTACCTCACTCAGCACCAATATCTTCTACCTGATTTGGCTTTCAGAGGATGTACACCTGTTATCAATGATCTGGCTTTGCAGCCACAACCTTCTCATACCTGTCACCTCCCCTTTCAACACACCCCATCCTTGCTGTCAAGACGTCAGACCAATCATACTGTATGATCCAAGACCTCTGAGATATCAATCAAATTATACTCTGAATCCACACTATAGTCCCCAATCCCTACACCCTCTTATCTTCCATACCCTCCACCACCATCCGCTACACCATATTGGACTTCAAAGATGCTTTCTTCACCGTTCTCTTACACCCAAAATCACTGATGACCTCTTCTCTTTCCACTCCGCTGCTTTTCACCTCCTCCAGTATATTGATGATTGAGTCCCCCTCCAGAGCCCAAATCTGTAAGACCTCAGTCTTTATCTAGGCATCCTTCTACAAAAAACTCCACAAAACTTCTACCTCCCAAATATATACACTGTAGCACCCAAATCCAGTTGCCCACTACAGTCCAACAGCTCCTTTTGTTTCTGGAAATTATAGGCTACTTCTACCTCTGGATCCCAGGCTTCTCTATACATGCCAAACCCCTATATGAACTCACCCAGACAACCTCTCAGGCCACCTAGACCAAAAGGCTTTCCTCAATGTGTCCTTTCAGAAACTAAAACAGGCCTTATCCTTAACCACTGCTCTATTCCAGACCTCATTCACCCCTTCTCCCTACATACAACAGAACACAAGGGATGTCCCACAGCAGTTCTGAGTCAAGATATAACATCCAGCCCTGTCACCTTCCTCTCCTTCCTCTTGCACTGGACCTCACCATCAGAGGGTGACCCTCCTGCTTAAAGGCTTTGGAAGCCCTAAAAATCATCTTCCATATCCCAATAACTTTATACTCCTCATGAACTCCAAGCTTTCCTTATTTCCTCACATCTCCCCCAACTACTGTTGGCCCCATGACCCCTACATCTCTGTGTCCTCTTCCTTAGCTCCAATTAGCAGGCAGACCCCCTAATTTTGCTACAAACAAGAGATAACAACTCAAGCCCCTCCTGGGAACATGACTGTCCCTCTTTTCTGCAATTACACACGAAGATTTCCCCCAACATTTCAGACCTTCCTATACCTAAGCCACAGCACACTTGGCTCAGAGACAGAAGCTCCTACAAGACCTCCTCCACTTCAGCTACAAAAGTTGAATATGCAATAGTTACAAACTGACACAATAATCAAACCTCAAGCTCTCATGGCAGGCTAAACTCAGCCCAGACCTCGGCTCTCACTCTGTGTAAAGGAAACAGCAATCAACATTTACAGACTCAGAGTATACTTCCCACAGCCATGTAGTAATCTGGGTAGCAAGGGGATTTCTCACCATTATGGAATTCTCTATCATCAATTCCACCTTGATAAAAACACTGCTAAGTGAAGTGCTCCTTCCCACTCAGGCAGGGGTCATTCACTGTAAGGGACATTAAAAGCCTGTAGGCCTCATAACACAAGAAAACTCCTTTACAGGCCAGATAGCAAAGAGGGCTGCTGCCTCTGTGAGACTCCACCCACCGCCTCAGGGCCAATACTCTCTTTGGCAGGCATCATTCGCAATTATTCCACAGAACAGTTACAATATCAGCCGCTGCCCACTTCTGATGGATGCTTCCTTGTCTAAGGAAAGTATCTCCTCCCTACCTCCAAAACTCACCAGATTCTTTATTTCCTTCATGACAGCTTTCATAAAGGCTACCAACTTTTCATCTCAGCCCCCTCCTGGAGGGAGGACAACTGTCAGATAGATCATTGGACATTGTTTAGTCTGCTACTCAGCCTCCCCCCAAGTCTCCCTCTATCCTCCCCCTTACCCTACTCACCAAACCTGAAGGTTCACTCTGGTCCCAAACTGCAAGTCAACTTCACACACATGACAAAAGTTTAAAAATTTAGATATCTCCTAGTCTGACAGACACTTTTCCTTGGGATGGGGAGGGGACATCTTCCAAACCAGATGGATGTCTGGCTGCTCCTCATTCTTAGGCCCCTGATCTCAGTCTTCTTACTGTTGTTTGTTGGGCCTTGCCTAATCAGATTTATAACAGATTTCATCCAAGGACAAGTCCGATCCATGACAGCTGGACAACTCCTCCAGATGACCTGCAATACTGCTGTCCCACAAGAACCCCACACTGATCCATGTAGAGACTCTGCCCACAGCAGCCTGCAGTCCAACCAGCACCCCATCCATTTTTCTGTTTTAGGTTGCCTATACAGCTCTCAGTCACGCTTAAAGAAGCCTTGAGAGACTGTACTCTTGCTCCCTTGCTCTCCCTTTGTAACATAACAGGCAGGAATGTCAGGTCTCTGCATTGGACCCCTACCCAGCTAGGAGAGAAAAAACTCCCCCAAACAGGGGAGTGTCATACCAGGAGGAGCAAGGTGTTCAAAAGGAAGCTGGCAGCTGTCCCTACACAGCAAAGAGCTGGTTCCACAGAAAAGCCACAAGAGACATGCTGTGCCTGCCAGCCTCCCCTATCCCCAACACTGTCCTGTCTATCAGCTAACCTTAGATCCCCTACTCAGAGGTCCCAAGTTTTACAACCCCCTCAGCAATGTCTCCCTTCCCTATCTAAAATCCCCTGTAAAAACCTGCCCTCCCTCCTTGCTCAGGGCCAGTGGTCTTTTTGCCCTTGACCTGACTGCATGTGGTATGCAATAAAGTTATTGCTGTTTGCTTCAGCCTTGCCTGCTTCAGTGGCCTCAGTCATACTCCATTTTAGCCTAACACATCCCCTGCCATGTGGTGTCTGCCAGAGTTCTGTCCCAGTCTTAGGAGCCTGCTCCTGTGTATCCCTCTGGATTGGGCCTCCTGTGTATGACCCACTTATCTGAGTTTGTACATCTGCATGTGCCCCTGATAGTACTATGGATGGTCTTTTATGTATCCCTGTGTTGGGAGAAACAGAAGCCAATGCCTAGGCTGCAGGAGGCTTTATTGGTCTAACAGTTTGAGGGTCAGTTTACTTGTAGGGAAGCAGCCATGGGTAGCACATCCAGGGCTGCTGGTGTAGTTCATCCTGTGCTGTCAGGAGCTGTGTCTGATGTCCACTCAGGCGTCATCCTCACTGCTCAGCACTTGCTCCTGGAAGGCAGATGTGTGGGGGCCCAATGAGCTGGTGGCCAATAATCAGAAAGCCACTGCTCCCTGAGGCAGACAGCCAGGGTCCTCTCTGAGAGATGGGTGTGGGCCCATTGTGGCATAACCCCCAGCATCTGGGAGGTATGCGCATGCATGTTCGCATGTGTGCACCTGCATGTCCTTGTGTGTGCACATGCTTGTGTAGGGCATAGACTAGCAACAGAGCAGGGAACATGTTGAGGGGGCTAAGTTTCTTTGTGGATACAGAGGTTGGAGGTATCCACTTCAGACCTCGGTATCTGTAAAGGATAGGCTTCAGGGTGCTGCCTTGGATAGATGACCAGGGCCTAGGTGTTGGGCAGATCTTGAAAGGACTTTAGGTTTGAGGGAAGGGGTTCCCCAGTCCCAGTACCAGCAACTTGACCAGCTCCGCCTTGTGAATGGGCTGCAGACCATCAATGCAGGATTTGAGCTCTGTCAGGGCCTCCTTGGCATCCTGGTTGACATTGTACTTGCCCAGAGGCCCCTCATAGAGCTCCTCTGGGCTTCCAACCAGCAGCACTTGCAGGAACTCCATGAAGAATTCACTGTTGTCCTCCCCTCTGGCCCTTCCTGTGTTGTAAGGGGAGATGATGCTAGGAGAGGGCCCTCCCTGGGCCTCTCAGCTCTGTGGTCTTCACCATATTTTTCTCCATAACAGTGTAACCCGAAATACCATAGACCTTTCTCCTCACATTTCTAATCTCAGCATCTGATTTCCACTCTGATCCTGGCCTCACCAGGGAAGGAAAGTTGAGCTTTGATATGAGTTGATTTCTTTCCCTGTTGTGAAGCTGAACTGCAGTGAGGTTCAGAGTTGGGGTCATGCTATATTGGGCTGGAGTAGGTGACACTGAGTGGAGTGGGCCTGGTTTGGGATTAGGGTTAGCATTGCCTGTGCTCTTCTGTGAGTGATTTGTGAGGGAGGCAGGTGGTATCCACTATATCCCAGGACCCTGTCCCTGAATACACTGGAAACCTGACCCAGACTTACCACAAGTACAGAGCACAGTGAGGACCACGAGCAGGAGGGTGCTGCTTCCCTTCATGATGGCAGTCTCAGAAGCCACCTAGGCTGACACCAGGCTTTTATCCCTTAGCAGGTGGCACTTTGCCCAGGGGCAGGCCTGTCCTGTCCATCAGGACCTAACAAGTGAGCTGGGGCCAGGCATATCCACTAGGTGCCAGCAGTTTTAGGCCTAGGTCAGCAACAAGAGTTGTTAGAAAACAAGTTTGGGTGAACAAGAGTGAGATTCAAATGTGCTGAACACAAGAGAGGAGTCCTGTGCATTGCATGAAGTGGGGTGGTAGGCCCAGACCCAAACGTCTCTAGTCACACTAGGCCTTGAGGCTGTAGTACTGTGTCTGCCCTTTAGGGGTGATAATCTTCCCTCTCTATTGCTCAGCTAGAGTGGTAGGTGGAAAGGGGACAGAAGCATGGGGGCTCAGTGCCACAGAACGTTTGAAGCAGGTAGCAGCATTCAGGACAAGGAAGATGGCCTCATAAGCTCTGAGGGCTATGCCTGGGGCCTGTCACAGCAGGAAATGAGGAAAGGCCCTGGGTAACATATCTTTCCTCAGTGGCTAGCCAGACAGGTACCAGTCTCAGTGCACACTATCATAAAACAGGCCGGGACACCTGGTCCCTAAACCAAGGCGTCCCAGAACAGCTGTTTCTGAGAGGTTTGAGTCTACCACTGTGATGTGACCCCTTGTCTCTTATCCTCTACTGCCACCTGGTGTCTGGTGGTCCCTGTAGGAACCTTGCCTGCTCCCTCACAGGGGTGTCTGTTCAAAGCTGCCCAACCCAAATTCTACTGTTGTACCACCAGAGCAAACCTTATCATTGATAGAACTGTGGAGGGAGGACCGGCGGCGGCTGAAAAGATAAGAAGTATGAAATATAAATGACCTTTATTTTGAGAATGCAGGGAGAGACACCCCCGAACCCCTGGGGCGTGGCATCTCCACCCTGGGGCCAGTGATCTCTCCGTGGAACACGTGGAGTGAGGCACCTAAGTAGCCTCGGCTTGGGGTGGAACCTAAGGGGGGCATTAGGGATGCACAGGTAGCCCACTGGTCTTAGTTTGGCGCCAGAGATAGATTCCTAAGGGAGGGGGAGATAGGAGCTCCTTGGCTTTACTGGCTACAGTATCCGGCCTGGGCCAAAACCCTTTCAATCATGTCCAAGTCCTTGTCTGTTAAGCTGACCTTCATTACCCTGGCACTAAGTATCTCCTGGCTAGACACAAACCCCAAAGCCTGCCCTGTATCCTTTGGGCATAATCCCTGATATCACTGGTTCTTACCTTCAAGCCCCCTGTTTATAGTGATCTTCTCTAATCCCTTTGCTAGCATAAATTAAATCCATAGATAATATAACTCACTTATATACATAATTCTAAAAATATAGGAGAAACAATGCTTAATGAAGTCATCTATAACAACCCTGTGGTTGACATGTCCAGACATGTCCAGCAGAGCTTGCCCATACCCTACTGTTATGGAAGCACTTGGGGAGATCTCTGAGCAGTGGCTCTGGAGTTGGCCCTTGCTGGAACCAATGTGGTTCTGAAAACTGTAATAACTCGGACCCCAGTATAAAATCCAAGGAAGCAAGAGACTGAAATTTGGGGAGCAAAGGCTTTATTTAGGCCAGGCCTGGCGATGAGTCTCTGGGAGCCAATTTGGAGACTGCATGCGAGAGACTGAAGGAAGGGCTTTAAAAAGAGGTTGAAGGAAAAGGGTGGGGGGAGAAACAAAAGAAACCCGCAGAGCCGTTAAACTGTTCCCCCAAATCTGGAAACTGTAAAAAGCTGTCCACTTAGTTCTGACAACCTCGGGAGCCTTTGGCGCCTTTCAAGTTACTCCCATCCTGCAGATAAGCATTATTTTGGAATAGTACATTTGCAACAACATTTGGAGAAGAAAGTAGAAAGTTAATTATCTCAGGACAGCTCGTTAACACTAACAGGTGGGAAGGGGTGGAAAGTTATAAGAAGCTGAAACTTAAGTTTTTACAAGGATTTGGAACTTAACCCTTTTGGTGCATTAGGGTTAAGCCACAACATTTTCCTGTAATTTTTTTGAAGCTAAGGCACATTTTATGACAGACCACCACTGGGTCAGGAAGGGGTCACCAGAAACCCAAAGTCTTTATGGCCTTTCAGGAAATTGAAACTTAGCCTAGATAGATAGGTAGAGGAAAGGGGAGGCAGTACAGCATTACAGAAAATATGGCGAGATTACATTCCTTGGGGAGAGCAAGGTCAGGTAAGGGTTGTGCTAACAAGCAAGTCTCCCTGCACACAAGCAAGTTACTTCAAACAAGTGTAAATTAGGGAAACATCCTGGTTTTCCTCAGCGGAGAATGGGGAAGCCTAAGAGTAATTAACAACTCCTGTTAGCTTATCTTAGCACTGCATCTGTTATTTGTAGAGGGCAACAATGGTTAACATATCTATTAGGTAAGGTTTTACAATTCTTTACAGAGAAGAGCATTGATTAACCTATCAATTAGGTCATCCAGAGGGAAAAGGAAAACATATACACAGTAGGCCGTGTTACAGGTTTTGCTATAATACACATATAACAAAGCTATTTTTTTCCTAGAGCACAACAAAAACCTCCAGAAGATCCCACCATATGGACATGGTTCTATCAGAGATGGACTGATCTAGCATTTGTCCCTGTTCTGTCTGTTGTCCCCAATAAGAACTGCTGATGGATTCCCTCTGTGGCCTACAGATTGATGTTTTTCTTCCTTAGTCCCAGTCCTGGATCAGTATATGCTGTTTGATATTGCTTCTGAGGCCCCCCTGAAATGGGAGCCACTGATCTCTGACAGTCTCATGAAACTGCTGAGTATATTTTTATTCTGTCTCTGCTCACTCCTCTAATATCATTTCTAGTGAGCCATTGTCCACGTAATTCATCTAACACCCCACACCTTCACTCTTGACCCATTCTGCCTCCTTTGGTCACTGCTGCAAGGTTGTTCTTTAGTCCTGGACAATTATGATACTGCCCACCTTTCATATTTTAATATCAAGTGCCACCTCTGACCTTCTCATCCCTAGGCTTGCTCTCTTAAATGCCTGAGGCCAACACCTGGCCACTCTCTCTTCAATATCACCACCTTGGTTGTTTCTTAGGTGCTGCACTTCTGCTTTATTTCCTCAGGAGTATCTTCTTATACCCTGGAGATGGTTCTCATTCTTGCTCTCTCTGTCTCTGCTTTAGTTCTTATTTCACTGAGACATGGAAGTAATCAGAAAAATAACATGTGAAACTATTATCAAATTTGCCACCTGCCTTCATTTTTTCCTGCATTTATTCTGGAAGCATCTTTTTCATATTTCCTCATGTTACAAGAGATGATCTGTCAACCAGGAATGGTAGCTCAAGACTGTAATTCCCAGAGACATGATTGTGAGTTTAAGCTCAGGCTGGGCAAATGAGCAGATTAACAAGACCTTGTATCAAAACAAAAAAGGTGGCAGATATAGATCAGTTTAAAGGCCCTGTATTGTGTCCTCACTACTGGGTGTGTGGGGGCATCAGTCTTCACACTGATTGATGGCCAATCCTCTTGTCACTACATTTTCTCACTAAATGTGACTTTGTCTCATCTTTCTGCAGCACCTTCTCTCCTGGACTCTTATCATCAGTATATACTTATGCTACCACATATCTACTTCAAGTAACACAAAATCCCCTTCTTCAGCACAGTATGGAGAATCCATGTGGCTCCTTCTTCTCTCCCTTCACTCTTGCTTTGTCATGAGTGTACGAATTTTGTTGGGATTTGGCTAATGAAGGGCACCAGCAGATCAGAGGAAGGAATGGATAAGTTTAAGACCCACTGACTTGCTATACATGGGTGTTTTTTTTTTTTGGATGGAAAATAAGGCAAGTTGTTCTATCAATGTATAGGTTATCTGGTTATAACTTTTACAGGTGTGTAAATACAATATACTTACACTTGGGATGTATCATAACTGTCTGTACGACTTACGTTTGTCTAGGTTTCTAACATTTGTTTATGTCCTGTGACCTTATCTGCTTCAATGAAAAATACTGCATTCTTGAATGGAAATATTAACATTATTTGGTGATATGAACCAAATAAGTCAGACCATCTAATTTATGTTATTAAGGAGTTGAGAAAAAAAACTGGCTCTCTTTTTCTTGCAGAAACACAAAAAGTTCATTCTGTAGTTGAATTTTATTAATATAACTTCTTGTTAGGGCAACTATCATATTTAAAATGTGCTTGTTTTCAGGTAGTTTATATATTATCACTAAAGAGTTAATCTCAAGATTGAGACATTAGTTTCTGTGGAAGTCATGATCATACTACATCTCCAAGTACACAGTTTGGGTCAGCTGGAACCTCTGGAACAGCAAGGCTGAAACATTTCCCTCAAGAAGGAAATGGTGGTAGACTGGCTTAGAGTCCCATTACTGAGGAAACTGTTCAAGAATTTCCCTCTAATTGTAACTATGTCATCAGAACACAAGACAAAAACCTAATCTTTAACCACATCTATTTGGCAATGTAATGCTGCATAGTCTTATATGGTTCAGAGCTGGGAGTTTCATTGGCAGTGAAGCTAAATCTCTCAAGTCACTATAATCTTCAAATCACACATGCTGGAAGAATTAGCATATTATAAATAACTGAGTCAATCAAGTTGCTGTGGGAAATATTCTGCTAGATTTATGTGCTCTATGAGTTGTCTTCTATTTCACTTGCCAGTTCCTTGATACCTAGATTTGAGCTGCTTCCAGTGTCACAAATATATCTGTTTTTCAGGCAGTATCTTTGATGCTTGAAGGCTTTGAGTCACTTTCACCAATTTCTCAGTGATTGGCACCCTTGTTGAATCTGTCCTCTGCAAAGAGGAGACCCCTCTGTGTGGCCTAGGCCATTATCATTGATCTTGAGTGCTGCCTGTTGTTTCTGAGTGGCCCTACAGGGAGGTGTGTGTGTGGCTTCACTCTGGGCCCTCACATTGTGATTCCCTCACACAGTACACACAACTGTGTTCTCAGGGGTCCCAGAGTTCAGCTGCAGGGCGAACTGGTTCTTGGATGTATTTCTGGAAATCTAGAGTCTACTCTTAGCTATGGGATATAATACGTATTTCTGTGACAGCATGTTTCAGATAGTCACTGTATTCTGCTGGGGC